GCACCAAACACATGTAAGACCTCCCCTCTAAGAGATGCTGACCTTCTGGAGTGCAGCAGAGGGAGAACGAGAGATAGTACCTGCCCTTTGAGGGCTCAGGAAAGGTTTACAGCAGCCCTTAAATGTGAGTGGTTGGTTTTTTTGTTTGTTTTGTTTTTAGATTTTATTTGTCAGAGCACAAGCAGGTGGAGCGGCAGGCAGAGGAAGAAGCAGGCTCCCTGCTGAGTAAGGAGCCCCATGTGGGACTCTATCCCAGGACCCTGGGATCATGACCTGAGCAGAAGGCAGACGCTTAACTGACTGAGCCACCCAGGCATCCCAAATGTGTGTTTAATTAGAAGCCTGCCTCTCAGATCGCAGCTATGATATAAGCTAATAGACTTCTTTCACAAAAAGAGTGAGCTCCTAGTTCTCTTTTCCTCTTGCTTTGCCCTAGGGGTGGTAGCTTGGTAGCTGTTTAAGAACTCTTTCTCTGTTGGTTACAGTCCTATGGGATTTGTGAGCATAGACTCCACTGGCCACCAGAGCCAAGTGATGTAGAGGTGTCCCCCAGAAGCAGCTGTAAAAATCAAGGCACCAGCCATGAATATAATAAGTTCCTTTCTTAAAGATAATGGCATGCTTGAGCAAAGCAGATGGAGAGTGTAAATATTGCATCCACTTGCCTCTGTTCAGTGAGAGCAATTCTTTGGGTATCTATAAATGTGCTCAACCAGAAGCCTCAGGTCAGAGCCCCTAGACTAGCAAATAGGCCTCTTTCTCAGACTGGGAATGGGTTTTGGTCTTCTATCTGTACTCTGCTCTGGGAGTGTTAGTCTGCCAAACTGCCTCTTTGTTACAGCCCTGTGGGACCCAGGAACCCCTCATTCTCTAGAGCCAGGTGATCGAGGGGTGTTTTTTGAGCATCAGCCACAAAAACTGGGTTACCAGGCATGGATAAAAGCTCTCCTCCAGAAGATACTGGTGCTCTATAGCATAACAGATTAATAAGATGGCACTCACCAGCCTTCTCCCCAGAGACTCTTCCTGTAGGCCTCTGCCCCTCAGACCAATGCTTTCACATTAGCAAATGAGTCTGTTTCACATAAAGTCTGGTCAGCTGCAAAGGACTGCTACCGTGCTGGGCCTTGGGGCAGGTGAATCTGCACATGAGCCATTTAAGAGCCATTTTTCAGTTTACCATAGCCCCATCAGTCTGGTAGGTGTAAACCCTGGAGGTCTTCAAAGCCAGATGTTTTGGAGTCTCATCTCTCAGGTGCCAGTCTTAAACGTTAGGATGCCCATCTTAAACGTTAGGATGCCCAATGTGGGATCAAGCACTTTGCTTCTCAGGGAGAGCCTCCAACTTTTGAATCCCCATCCGATTATGGGTCCGTGGTGGGGGTTTATGGTGAGATTGTGTCTCAGCCTTTCCTACCCACTTTGATGTGGTTTTCCCCTTGTTTACCAGATGGGAAGAGCTCACTCTGCCAAGTTTTAGGTTTTTATTTTCAGAGGAAATTGTTCTATAGATAGCTGTAGATTCAGTGTGTCCATGTAAGGTGAGTTGTAGGTTCCTATGTCACTATCTTGAATTGGAGTTTTTTTTTTTTCTTTTCCTAGTAGAGTTATATTTATTTCAACAAAATTATAAAGTAAAACTACAAAGAAAAATATTTGACACAGACACATTTTGTAAAGAGGAAAGTTAGCAGTAATTGGTGTAAGTATAATAAATTATATCTTGATATTTTGGGGGAAAGTATTACCAGAAGAAACACTAAAATACAGCATTGTTGCCATAGCACGTGAAAACATTCCCAGAAAAAAATTAGTGATTTTCATTTGAACACTTAATTTTTCAGCCCTCTTTGAATTTATATTCTGAAATTTGATGTTCTATTGCAGTTTCCACTTGCATGGATTATCTTTCCCATCCCCTTCTCCCTCTCTTCTTCTGAAATCCTGATTATTCTGATATTTGTCTTTTTTTATAATCACCACTCATTTAGGCTTTGTGTACTTTAAGTTCCCTCTTCTGTGTTATTTCAAAATTCTTATCCTCCATGCAATTATTCTTTCTTTCATGTGGTCTGTATATGCTCTCTGTTACATTCTGATCTAATTTACTGAATTTTTGCTCCAGAATTTGGAAAGAACTCATTTTGTATTTTTAATTCTTGATTTGATTGAATTCTTTCTGAATTTCCTTGTAACTTGTTGAGTTTCCTCATTACAGCTATTTGAAATTCTTATCTGCTGCTTTCCCAATTTCCTCCCAATCCCCAGTTATAGATCTCCCACCTTAGTACTCCAGGTGCTGAGGGAGAGAATGGCTTTCTCTGGTTGCCGTAACTAGGCACTCACTGCTTTCCTTTTCCCCTGCAGGAGAGGTCACTGCCACCAGATAAATTAGCACCCTTCAGTGTTTCATTGGGCACAGGGGTGGTGCCAGGAAAGTTTCTCTTACAATCTCTCAGGTGGCCGAACTCCTGTTTTTCTCCCCTTTACAATGGTGTGCTAGAGTCTGCCTTAGGGAAGACTCTCTGACACTATTCCAGTCTGTACTCACCCAATTTTTGTCCTGTAGAGGCAAGAATGGTCTAGGCAGTTTGGCTCACTCCTCTGGTGGGTGAGACTCCTCCCAGGTTCCTTGGAGTAAGGTGATGGGTCTAAAAACACCCATGAGGGTGCTTTTGTTCATGTATGAATGTCTAATCCATTGATTTTTGGGGTGGATAAATAGGAACATTTTATGCCAGCATGTTGCTGACCTCACTCTCCAGGATCATCAGATGTACACTTTAGAAAGTTTACTTTGGCTGCTGGGTAGAGAAGAGTCAAAAGTGTAGCAGTATGAAATGAGGGAACATTTATGATTCTTTCTAATCTGAAGTTAACACAAACGTTTGATTTTATATATAGTATTCTGTCATTTATAAAGTTACTTTAATATTGGTCTAATAGGTTTTTCCCAGTGAAGGAAATATTAACTAGATTACGTCATTAATTAAACCTACAAAGTGATTTTATTATAATTAAGTTTGAAATATAGGAGGGGAAAATGAAATATTGTATATTTATCAATAACAGCTTTTTTTATCTGTACTTTACAAAAGAAGGAAAGGACGACATGGACATAAGCTATTTGCTTAAACAAGGTACCCTTTATATATAAAATGGAAGCTTAGAAAATACAGCATTCCATCTAAAGGGAGAATTAGCCAAGGTAACATTATGTAAGAACATGAAAATACCTATACCCTTGCCATTCTGCTTTCACTTGAAGTTAAAAAGTAAATACTAGAGCTACTGAAAACTATGACTGTCCTAGCAGTACTTAAATATACAGAATTGAATTTGACCTCATTTTGTTACTGATAAAACTTCCTTTTAATAAAATGAGATTTCAATAATAATATACAAAGTAGGGAATATTTTCACTAAATGCATCTGACTTTAAAATTCTTGACTAGCAAAATCCATTTTATTATTTTTCATAGTATTCATATTTATTATTTATTCATTTTACTTTAATTGGGTAATTGAAAACAAAAGCATTTTAAAGATGGATTTATTTTAGAGAGAGCATGGGAGGGAGGGGCACAGGGAGAGTGAGAGAGAATCCCAAGCAGACTCTGCGCTGAGCAGCAGCCCAGGCAGGATTGATGCCGCCACCCTGAGATCATGACCTGAGCCGAAACCAGGAGTGCGATGCTCAGTCAATTGTCCCACCCAGGTGGCTCCAAAACAAAGGCATTTTATATTGCAGTAGTATAGAAGTTTCTAATCCCATACCTGCTTCATAGAGACTAAACCCTAAGATTAGAATAACATCAAGATGTTTATTAGATGGTCATAAAGATGTTTAATGGCTACTGGTAAGTCAAAGTTAGTAATAAAAGTGCAAAATCTCCTTTTCAGTGACAATCTACACTACTAGTTTGAAGTATCATACAAAATGGTTTTACTAGCCATAATCAGTTTTTCTTGATTTATATATAAGCTGAAAATGAATCTTCTGTGCACAGTAAATAAAAAAAATACTTTTGGTTACTGCTTTGTACAATTATGGTAGAGATCTATAAACCATATCAATAACAAGCCTTCATAGTACTAGTGGGTATTATTTTTCCAGTAATTTTGTGATAAATTCTTTGAGTACTATTACACATTAAATGTAGATTATTTTGTGAAATGGTGTTTTAATGATAGAGGACTTTGGTACTGGGGAGCCTGGGTGGTTCAGTTAAGCTTTTGACTCTGGATTTCTGCTCAGATCATGATCTCAGGGTGGTGGGATCCAGCCCCAAGGCAGTCTCCTCGCTAGGTGAGGAGTCTGTTTGAGATTCTCTCCCTCTGCCCCTCCCCACACTGGTATGTGCCTACTCTCTCTCAAATAAATAAATCTTAAAAAAAAAAAAAATTGTTGTTGGTCACACTTGGGAAAAGAATCCAGATTTTTCTGGACCATGTTCTTTTTAAAGAAACATGTCTGGAGACGATGGACTCTGAAAAACAGAGTTCTAGAGGGGAGGCGGGTGGGAGGATGGGTTAGCCTGGTGATGGGTATTAAAGAGGGCACGTTCTGCATGGAGCACTGGGTGTTATACACAAACACACGAACAATCATGGAATACTACATCAAAAACTAATGATGGAATGTATGGTGATTAACATAACAATAAAAGATTAAAAGAAATAAACATATAGGAAGAAGTATTGCATAGTGGTTGAACATTTGAGTTCTGAATTCTGATTGCTTATTTTGCCTCCAGCAGTCTGCCTCACTTAGTAACTACCTTAAGGGAGTTGTGAGAACGGAGGTAAAAAGTATAAACTGTTGAGCATATTATTTCACAGTAACAACGTTAACTAGGAGCTTTCTCTGCTAGAACTTGCTGTTAATAATATTTATGTTCAAGAAGTATTCATCCTAAATTAAGATTAAATTATTAAAAATATGAAATAGTTTTATTTTTACATCAGATAATTTTTTCTCTAATCTTTTTTTGTTTTAGGTCACTTTTCACATCGAACCATATAGCAATCGAGACGATCAAAACATGTACAAAAATGTCAAATATATTATAGACAAGTGAGTGTCTTCTGTGTTTATAATTACTGTTTTACGATCCAATAATTATTTTAAGAAGAGTACATTTAAATTATATTTGAGATTTGAATGACTTATGGTCTGAGATACTAAAATTTTATAATGAATAATCATTTAGAGGAACATTTCTGAAATTATTTGATTCACTTTATAGATTTATTGTTTGTGTGTAATAAGCTATTTAATGATTTGTTGGCTGACCTTTTAAATTGATATTCTATAAATCAGGACTAGAGTTTTGTCTTTTTAAAAGAAGGTTCAAATTATGAAATGTGAACTGCTTTTATATCCGTGGACCCACATCTAATATTTTCATTTATATTTAGTCTGATTGCAAGGAAAAAGTTAATAGTTTCATTTTGTTCAAAGATTTTACTGATAAGAACCTGTGACAGATACTGTACTCTTAAAAAGAAACTTGTCAGCAACAGTGAGACATTTATCACTGATAGCAGTTGATATATTCATATAGAAAATGGGCTTTTTATGGTGTTGGTCATCATTTGTAAACCTCAATATGTCTTGATATATCCAGTATCTCAATTTTCCTATCTGCAAAATTGAAAATGCATTTTTAATGATTATCCTTAATATAACTGATCCCCCAAAGAAAGTGAACTAACTGCACTGATTACTTTCATTTTCAGTATAGAAACAGTTATTGTCTGTGGAAAATGAGTTACAGATATTCACTTCTACGTATTTTTGTATTCTAGGTATGGAAATCATCCGGCCTTTTATAGGTACAAGACTAAGACCGGCAATGCTCTTCCTATGTTTTATATCTATGATTCCTATATCACAAAGCCTGAAAAATGGGCCAATTTGTTAACCACCACAGGGTCTCAGAGCATCCGCAATTCTCCTTATGATGCACTGTTTATTGCACTTCTAGTAGAAAGCAAACATAGATATGATATTCTTCAAGGTGGTTTTGATGGAATTTACACATATTTTGCCACAAATGGCTTTACTTATGGCTCATCATATGAGAATTGGGTGAGGCTAAAATTTTTTTGTGACCAGTTCAACCTACTGTTTATCCCAAGTGTGGGCCCGGGATATATAGATACCAGCATCCGCCCATGGAACGCTCAAAACACTCGAAACCGAATCAGCGGGAAGTACTATGAAACTGCTCTGGGTGCTGCACTCCATGCCCACCCCAGTGTGATTTCTATCACCTCTTTCAATGAGTGGCATGAAGGAACTCAGATTGAAAAAGCTATTCCCAAAAGAACCAGTAATACAGTGTACCTGGATTACCGGCCTCATAAACCAAGTCTTTATCTAGAACTAACTCGCAAGTGGTCTGAAAAATACGGTAAGGAAAGAGCAACTTATGCATTAGATCAGAAGCTGCCTGTTTCTTAATGCATTAATAATTATAGAAATCACCTAGTACCTTTTAAGTATATACTGATTGGCAGTTATCCCCATAATAAAAAGAATTTGTATTTTTTTAAAAAATGGTAATATCATCATTGCCATCCTTCACAATGCTGCACTGAAAAAATATCAGAGAGAAAAATTGTGCAAATTACATTCCCTGTGGCATATGCTGAATTTCTGACTGAAATTGAAATTCTACTTTGCTACTAATTTTTATTTCACACAAAAATGTTTGTGTTACATGGGTTAGTGCACAGTTAAATCCTTCTTGTATTCTGGGCTCAAAGAAATAGTGTATATTTAATATGTCTAGTGAAGAAAATAAGACCTAGAAGATAGCGTACATGTTTCAGTCATCCAGAGTCTGTTCACTAATAGTCTCCAATAAAAAATTCTTAAGGAAAATAAAATCTTAACTTAAGCCTTACTGTGAATCACATTGTGTTAGGAAGGCCTGCTTTCTACAGCACAATATGCATCATCCTTTGAGGATTTTTTGATTTCTTATAGCATGTTAGGTGTTTTGCATGTCTAATGTATCTGCTTTACAATGCTGAATTCCAGATTTTAGAAGCTGTGGAACGTTCTTTCATGCTTCTCTATTAAGAAAACATAGTTGGTTCACAATTACGAAGATAGAATGTCCAAAATACCACTTTTTGGATAACCTGTCAATTTTTAACTTGTTATTCTATTCATGTTTTTAAAATTTAATGTTAATCAGAGACCAACTGTTAGTATCAACCTTTTTCTTTCTTACCTATCATGGGATTTCCTTCTTAATATTTTAAGCTATTTTTACCAAAATAGAATTTACTTAGCATGTTAGGAACATAGAAATGAAAATTCTTTTATATCTTAAACTTACAAGTCAAATGAATTTAACACTTAATGATGGCAATAATCTCGTTTAAAAGACAATATATCCCCATGTAAAAACATTATACTTTCATGGTATCTATTAGATTCAGTACTTGTGATCAGTTGTCATATTGTGACAAATTAATCCACCTGTATGCTAATAGAGTATATGTTATCCTTCAGTTCTTATAGTTAACTAGAACTATAAAATGTATATATGCTATTACAAGATTATCATTTCTTAGATATTTCATTTACTAAAGAGAAGCAATACTAAACAATAATACATATAAATCTTCAGGTTTTAGAGATATTCAGAAACAAAGCAACCGTAGAATTTATCATAACATAGCCCATCAGGTGATGAAATTTATTTTAGCCAGTGATTTTGAAGTAAAAATCTTTTCTTTGAAAAGAGGCATGATTAATGTTAAACTTATTTATAACTTAAAAATTTGCCATTTCTCAGAGAATGATCAGTCCTTGAGAAATTAGAACAATAGTAGTAAACTACTTTCTAGAGGAAGTTATGAGACTAAATCACTATAACGATATAACCAAGCCTCTTCATAGGAACATTCATACAGATATGACCTGTGGATTTTTTTTTTCTTATATCCAGTTGGCCACTCTGTGTTATCATAGGCATGACACATTTATAGAGTTTATTCCTAATAATCACTTTTACCATATTTTATTAAATTTAGAGAAATTACTACTACAGAGGAGTTCTTGTCATTGCTTATACTGTATATTTGAACCTACCATGACAGAAAAAGTTCTGAGATTAAGAGAATAAAAACAAGGTCAACAAATACTCAATGCGAGTACTACCACTTTTTATCTTGCTCCCACTGCAGACCTAGATAATCTACTACAGCACTCTTGACCTCTGAACTTTGTTGTGGTTCCTAACACATTACTCCAACCAGCCAGTTATGACCAGATTTCAAAGTAAGATAAAACAGATTTGTTCTCAAGGGAAGAATGTTTGGAATCTGATCTCATAATGGTTTAAGGATTTATAATTATATGAAAATCTGTGTCTTTTTGCCTATTTTAAAAACTAGGAAGAATTATCTCTAATTTCATAAATCTTCCTCAGGTATTCATTACAGTTGCCTTTATCATTTGACTTATAACCATTTAGATCATTATGATCACAAGTAAAAGCAGAGAACTGATTGCCTAATTTAAACTACCGAGGTGTGAATTCAATAAACTAAAATACCTGTTAAACAGTGTAATATATGCAATTCATGAATCACAATTCTTTTATGGTTTAATCAGTCTGTTTTGACTGTATAGAAAACAATCTTTGTTTTATTGTTCGTCTTAAGGATGAATATTATCAGAAACTGCTGTTGTTAATGTTTAAGTCGTACGTTAACCATTTTCTGTTTTAAAAGTAAAAGACTTTTGTTATATGGAGTCATTAACTTTCATTTAATAAAAGCATACATGAAATAGTGTATCTTAGGTATAAAAATGTGTCCCTTTCTATTTATGAAATATTTAACTTCTGATTAACAGATGAAAAATAGTAGTCATTCAGCACTAAATATTTTTTCTGTTTGAGATATGTAGCACTTACAAAGTCTGTATCTTTAACTGTATATACATTTTTAAATCTGTGAATTTGTTAAACACACAAAAAAACAAAGGTTTTTGGGGGTGTGGGGGCAGAGATGTTTTATTTTTTTATTCTTTGGGCATAATCATGTTAGCCGTAACTCCTTTGGGAGATCTTACCCTAACAAGCCACCAGAGAACCTACCAAGTTTATAACCATCACTTTTTCAAACTGATCAGTTCAACATGACGACTGTTCCTGAACTCTGTAGTGCCTGCAGAAACAGCTCTTGAAAGTCTATCTAAATTTTGAATTAAGGTCGAAAACCCTCATGTCCCATAGTATAGAAGCAATACTATTTATGACCAGAAAAATTCCAGTTATTTTTATAAATATCTGTAATTTCTTTTTTTTTTAAAGATTTTATTTATTTATTTGAGAGAGAGAGAGCACATGAGAGGGGATAGGGTCAGAGGGAGAAGCAGACTCCCTGCCAAGCAGGGAGCTCGATGCGGGACTCAATCCTGGGACTCCAGGATCATGACCTGAGCTGAAGGCAGTCGCTTAACTAACTGAGCCACCCAGGCGCCCCCTAAATATCTGTAATTTCAAAATGAAAAATAGACCTAGCCACAAGCAAAAAAGCTTTTTAGCTCAGATAAAATTTTATGCTGACTTTGTTATATATCCACATAAAGTCTAAATGTTATTGTATGCTTCCTATAAGATTATCATTCTTGAGAATCCAAGTGCTACATTGGCTTAATTACTTTACAGAGACTCATTGTAGTCTAATCAAAGAACTTAGTAGTAGTGCTATTATATTTCATCAATGGAGAGAGTAACATTTTTCAATGTGGTTAGTTTCTGTTGTTACATAAGTTATGATATCAAAAGAAAAAATAAAGAACTAGTAAGTAAATGGCCACAGATCTAAAATTTAGTGAAGTTAAAACAGTAGCACTATTTTGGATGTTCTACACTTCATTTAAAAGCATCTTATATATTTTAAGTTTCTCAATTTATATTAAAAAATTAACCATAAATTTAATCATAAAGTAAAGAGACTTATAGAAAATACCCCATGAAATAAGTACTTCGTGACATAAGGCAATGCTGTACTATGGTTGGATAATTCTATATATAATTTAACCTATGGTATTTGATTGTATCTTCATGCTTTGTTTTTGACTTTTTGAAAGAATTGGTTGAGCAAAGATTGTTGTAAACAACATGAAATAAAGTGACACTCTTTAGCTATTCAATTACATTTAAAATACCTTAATTATAATTATGTTCATGCATAAAAGTACGAGTCAGTTTTTAAAAAGCCATTATGAAAACACTATTAATTTGATAATAATGTCTAATGTAATGTGATCTTTACCCTGATTTTGAAACTATCTAATACAAAAGAGAAAAATACCTAGAAGAAATTCAATTGTAATAAATGCAATAAGGTTTAGAAATATATATTTAAACACAGTCACCTAAGGGTAGTGTGTCAGAAAGTTTTTTGGATGTAACAAGTTTATTTATTGAATGCTGCCATTCTATGTATTGTTTTTTAATTACTTAGATTCCTTAGCCATGCGGCAGTCTATTAAGCCATTAATATTAAAATAGAGCAGTCTAATCTCAAGCCTCATGTAAAAAGTTAACTGCAAGGCTGCTAAATTCTTACTTGAAAATTTGGTGTTATATTTAATTAAAGTACATTCTTGAAAATTATGCTCTTGACTTTTTAGCTGTCTTATAAAAAAGATATTGACAATCATTTTATGAATAGTAGCTGAGCTCAAATTCTGTTTTATTTTTCCTTATGAGTATTATGTATTCTTAGCTAAAGACTTAATATAATCCCCAAATAAAATATTCTTTTAATGTATAATATTTTATTTCATTGTTTTCTTTTTACTTGAGTCATTTTTATGTAGAGTGTAGGTAATGTTTCCCCTTTTTAAAATGTGTACTCATTTTGAAAACAGGATTTAAAGTATTTTTTCCATAGAATTTAAAAATGTATGAACAATGAAAGATGGGATTTTTAAAAAGAATATACATATACAATGCTAGCATATATGGTTGACTACATATTTGGTATTGAGCTTCTGAATAGTTAATACAAGATGTTATATGATTTTTTTGCCAGGAAAGAAGCACCTTCTTTCCCCTACAAGGTAAACTTGACCTTGTCATCACAATTTAAAATAAAAGGTAAAGCATAGGGAATATAGTAATGGTGCTGTAATAGTATTGTATGCTGACAGATGGTAGCTACACTTATGGTGAGTTGTTGAGTCACTATGTTGTACACCTGAAAATAATGTAACATGTATCAAGTACACACAAAAAAATTTTTCAAATTGGCATTATACCTTAATGTTAAAAAATGTAAAAACCTACAGGAACCTGTCAGGTAATGTACTGTAAATAAATGCATCAGGTTTAAGACCCTAGAGAGTCCTAGGAACTGTGGACTACTCTCATCTAAAAGGAGTACTTGCTAATCAGCTCTGTCAATTCATTTTGTAGTTATGGGTCACTAAAATGAGGATGTATGTATGCCCGTGTGTGTATAAATTTTTCTAATTACAAATATTGGCAAATACCGGAAAAGGTTTTTAAAATATTTGCTGGTTGGCGTCACTAATTTGTGACCTCTGATAGAATATAAAATTATTGAGAACATTTTTCATAACATTACACTCAAGGGGATTTCATATGACTAGTTATTGTGATGATTATTGGATAAGTTCTAAGTATGTAACAAAACTCAATGAAAGTGAATCCATGAGGGTTCTGACTATATGATAACTTTTCCCAGATCCTATGGAAGATCAGAAATAAAGCACCCCAACAATGAGATACATATCTTTTAGCCAGGACCAATATGCCAAGACCAAATTTCATTTATTATTTATCCTAATTTGGCTTTTGACTAGCAGATTTGAATTAATTTACTGAGAAGGACCTAGAATGCTTTTATTCTTTTGCTTATTAGATACAGATCCATATTTGGAGCCTGAAAAGTAAGTAGAAAACACTGTAAGTAATTGCCTTTAGTTACAGCCCCCACTTCTGTAACCTGTTTTATGCCTTTTTGATGCCTGCTATTCAACCTTTCTTTCTTACTCTCAACATACCTGCCTTTCTTATCTGTTTTGTTTCAAAGAGGGTATTAGTGATCTGTTAGAATATATAACATGTCTCAGTTGAAATGGAACAAGAATAGGAATACACATTGAACCCAGCTTTAAAAGGAAAACAATATTATGGTAAATACACTGCTATACTTGTGATCACAAATTTAAGCTTTTGAATAGCCAGTATGAAAAAACATCTAATCATCCACATATTGTGCAATGTCCATAGAGTAAGTTAAAAATAAATTTCTCAAGAAAAAAGCTGTCTTAAGGATGTCCACTCTTACCACATTTATTCAAATTAGTACTGAAAGTCCTAGCCACAACAGACAAGAAATAAAAGGCATCTAAATTGGAAAGAAAAAAAACTACAGATGACATGATACTATAGACTCCCCAAAAGAACTATTTGAAATAAGTGAATTCAGTAAAGGTGCAGGATACAAAATGAATATATAGAAATCTGTTGTCTTTCTATATGCAAATGATAAGAAAGAGAAATTAAAACAATCCCATTTAAACCATATCAAAAAAAAAAAAATACCTTGGAATAAACTTAACCAAAGAGGTGAAAGATTTGTGTTCTGAAAACTTTAAAACATCGATGAAAGAAATTGAAGGTAACACAAATGGAAAGACATGCCATACTCATGGATTGGAATATTGCTAAAATGTCCATACTAAAAGCAATCTCCAGATTCAGTGCAATCTCTTATCAAAGTGCCAACGGCATTTTTCACAGAACTAGAATAATACTAAGAAATATATGGGACCTCAAAAGACTCCAAATAGCAAAATCAATCTTGAAAGAAGAACAAAACTTTACCAGATTTCAAAATATACTACAAAGCTGTAGTAATCAAGACAGTATGGCACTGGCACAAAAATAGACACATAGATCAATGGAACAGAATAGAGAGCCGAGATATAAACCCACACGTATATGGTCTATTAATTACGATAAAAGTAAGAATACAATGGGAAAAGGACAGCCTCTTCAATAAATGGTGCTGGGAAAACTGGACCACTTTCTTACACAATACACAAAATTAAAATGGATGAAAGACCTAACTGTGAGACCTAAAACCATAAAACTCCTAGAAGACTCTGAGAAACAAACAGGGTTCTAGAGGGGAAGGGGTGGGGGGGATGGGTTAGCCTGGTGATGGGTATTAAAAAGGGCATGTATTGAATGGAGCATTGGGTGTTCTATGCAAATAATGAATCATGGAACACTACATCAAAAAAATAAACTAGAAGAAAATAGGCAGTAATCTCTTTGACCTCAACTCTAGCAACATATTTGTGGATATGTCTCCTTAGGCAAGGGAAATGACAAAATTAAACTATTGGACTATACCAAAATAAAAAGCTTTTGCACAGCAGAGGAAACCAGCAAAACGAAATGGCAGCCTACTGAATGGGAGAAGGTATTTGCAAACAATATATCCAATAAGGGGTTAATATCCAAAATATATAACGAACTTATACAAGTCAACATCAGTAAAACAAATCTGATTAAAAAATGGGCCGAGGACATGAATAGACATTTTCCCAAAGAAGATCTACAGATGACCAGCAGAAACATGAAAAGATGCTCAAAATCACTAATCATCAGGAAATGCCAACCAAAACCACAATGAGATACCACCTTATACCTATCAAAATGGCTAGAATAAAAAAAAAAAAAAAGTGTTGGCAAGGAAGCAAACAAAAAGGGAACCCTCATGCATGCACTGTTGGTGGGAATGTAAA